TTTGTAGTATTTCTTTTTTATCATTTTTAATAAATATTCATTTATTATAAATTTAGTTTTCTTTTATTTATTTCATTTTCGTATTATTTGAAATGTTTCAAAATTTTTGCACTTAAAATTATTTATATATAGAGATAATTACACTCTATTTAAGAGATAAATATATATATTCGAATGTTGGCGAAAGAAAAACCGAAGATTCTCTCTCTGAACACAAAAAGTGCAAGCAACACGAAGATTTGCACTCTTGATAGGTATGTTCTTTTTAACTAAAGTTCTTGCACTTATCATCATTTTTCCTTTTCTTTTCACATTAGAGAGAAAAATAAAAAAGAGATGAACTATGTAAGAAGTTGAGAAGAAGAGATCAAATATTTCAAGATCAGAACTTGAGAAGGGCGGGGGGGAAGCATAGATGTCACTATCGTCACTAGCAAAATCTTCATACGCATGTGCGTTCTGATGTATGTAACTGCTGATTCAACTCAAAATTTGAAATTTGTAAGTTCATACAAAAATTCACTTAATTAAAAATATTTACGTTGTCTTGATATAATTTCTTAATATGTGCAACATAATTAATAGTAAATCACAATAGTATATATTGTGATAAAGTTCAATTGCCAAAGTGATCGTTAGTATTGAAATTGTACTGTGTATATCACGAAAGTGGTTAGAAAAACAATAATCAAATGATTTGAATGACATAGATCTTCATTTTTTTTTATAAAGTTCGCACGTTCGAAAGACAATAAAGAATTTATTATTGTTATATTGTTATTATAAACAAAGCTATATAAGAAAGTAAACTATGGCCCATATTACTGACAAAATTATGCGAATCTTGCATGAATGTCATCCCAAAGATGATTTTAAGGATAAGACAAAAAGTAAGGCAAAAAAATCAAGAAGGAAAATCGAGAATGAAAAATTAGAGGGAATCAAAAGTAGTGTAGAGAAATTATTCACAGATGCACGATGTAATTATGTAGGAAGTGTTGAATATGCCAGTTTGAATAAAATGCTGGCCATTTGTAATCTAGAGGTAATTGAATATAACTACATAATAAAGTAATAGAAATTCTACAACACATGTATGCTTGGTATATTGTAAAAAAATGCATGTGATAATTTATTTTGATACTAAATTTTATATACGTATATATTCTTTTAGATTGGCAATGAGATCACAGCTATCCATCATTTGGTCGAAGCTCATGCAGTAATACTTCGACAACACATCTTGCATAGATATCAAAAGACTCAAATGCGCGAATCTGTGAGGAATGAATCTCAAATATATGGACTAAGACCTACACATGTAAAATTTGAGACAAAATTTACAGATAATAGTGAATCATTAAAAGCAAAACTGTTAGACTTACCGAAAGGTATAGATACCTTTTGCTTTTTATTGTAATTCTCTTTTTATATAAATTTAAATTTGTTTAATTTCCTTCACAGAATGGTACATAATTCAAGTTACTGCCCCATATGAATCTCCAACTATATCAAGATACGAAAAACGTACATCTAACGTAATGCATGCTATACATATTACAATACTTCCTACGGGTACATCTGACATAGATCCATTATGTATAACTGTGCCAAGACCTACGACGCAAGTTTCTTATGATGTCTGCAAAGAGATTCGGCAATTACTTGATGGCTATACGTCTGCCCTGAAGACTACTTACACGAATAATAAGCAGTATTGGACAATGCGTGTAAATCAAAACAACAAAATGAAGGTAGATTTTTTAAATCGGAGCAACATACAAGTTGGAAATTTAACAATAAGGGAAATTTTAAATTAATTTATTACAGACGGCTATAAGCGCATTAGAAAATGTATGGTTGAGAGAATGGAGAGTGTTATTTATGGCTGATCTTATTGAAGACTTGGAAATGGTAGATGAGATTCATCAAATGATCAACAAATTAATATCGGATTTCAAATCTTCGTAAGTAATATATACTTCGTTGTGTTTTTTTATGCATATTCAATTTCTTTACTTCATTTATCTAGCAATGAGATATCAAAAAGATGTAGGTGGCTTTTGAGAAAAGTAGCCACAGGTGCATGCTTTCTTACGCGTGAGGAAATAGCGCGTGCAATTAAATTTCTACTTCCCAAGCATGAAAAACTTGCAAACAATATTATTTTATCTATTTATGGAAAATTGCCATATATAAAGAACCTAGACAATACAAAGCGGAAAACATTGGTTTTAATTATTGATGAGGTAAACGTGCAATGTATATAAGCTACATAATATTATTATACGCTTAAGAATAATACAAATTTATGTAAATTTGTTTCGTATATAAAGATTTTTTGTTTTTTAAGCACATAGATTATATAGCGTTTGAAGCTATGGAAATTGTTAAAGATCATCCTATTACCCGTTTTCCATCTCTACATGTAGCGTATGCATTATTCAAAGAACATGAAGATACTATTTTGGACGGTTGTAAATTAATTAAAGCAAAGGAAGATATGGGAATTTGCGTAGTCAATCCTTCCGGTGATCTCGATAAAATGGAAAAACGTATGAAGCTTTTTATGGACTTTTGGTTACCGAAGTGGAAAAGTTGTTATAACACGCGACCTAGCGAAGAAATGTTCGAAGATGCATTAATAAATCATGATATTTTAATGTACAAAAATTTTATCCTATTTCTCTATTAACAGTCATTAATCTACTTATAATTCGATTACTTGTACTTTATTTTTCTCTTTCATTTTTGTAGGTATACTGGTCATGGAAATGGCATAGAATATTTATCTGGAGAAGATATCGAAAGAATGAGAGTGAAATCTACTGTTTTATTGTTTGGATGTAGCAGCGTAAAACTATTTATGATAGGTGGAAGATATCCACCTTATGGCGTTTCAAATCAATATTTAATAGCATGCAGGTAAAAAAAATATTTTTTATGTTTGTGCCATACTTAAAATAAAAAATTCTTTCCATTTATAAAAAAAATTACATATGAAACATTCCTTTTCTCTTATCTTTTCAATTCCCATTTATATGTACATAAATAAATAAATAGTGTGTCAATTTACAATTTTTAGTCCTTGCCTGTTGGGTATGCTTTGGGAAGTAACAGATGCAGATATTGATAAAATGACCGCAAATTTCATGAGTAATTGGATTCCTTCGTCCTCGGAGAAATCATGGACTGAGATAGACAAGGATAAATGGATTTCTGGTACTCTAAGTTAGTATTAGAAATTGAAAAAATTTTTTATATTTGCTTCTTTAATATTATAAGTATAGTAACTCTTCATATTTAAATTTTTCAGAATTTATAAAGAACGGAGCAAAGGATAAACCAGAGATGGAATCAGAAATGTTAAGGGTAGTGGCAAAAGCTAAGAACAGTTGCTTGCATTATATGACGGCAGCTGCGATAGTAATACGAGGTTTACCAGTAAAAATAGTTTAATTCCTTACTGATGTCATCGATGTATTTTTGCACTGATGTGTAATAATTCAAGTTTCTAAGTCATGTATAAAGCAATTGTTTGTTGGAAGACAAGATTGCGATAATCGTTTGTAAAGGAGTAAAATTATGTTATATATTTTTTAAATTTTAATGCGAAGATATTTTAAGAACATATTTTATATAAAAATAATAAAAGCGAATAAAAAATTGTTTTGGTCAATTATTGCCTTCACTGATTCAAGATTATGGTCTTTGGTCACATAATAATCTGTGGTTCTGGTACAGAAGTGGAAATACTCTTGTGTGGTAAAACTTGTCCACCATTAATATATAATTCATCTTTCACGATAACGTCTTCTCCTAATACAGTTGTACCTTCCATTCTGACCCAACGTCCTACAACGCTTCTCCATCCAACAATACAACTGTTTACATATTTTTAATTATTATGATAAATATTATGAAGCTTTACTTATATTTAAAATATATAACATTAATACTTGCCCATCTAGCCATGCATGCTCTTTTATTACAGCTGCCTTAAGAATAGTACTTCGTTTAATACAACATCCATCAGCTAAAGTGGCACCCGGTCCAATCGTGACGTTAGGTCCTATTCTACAATCCTTGCCAATTATAGCCGTTGGATCAATTAAGACATTGCCTACTATACCAGGCCCAGAATGAAGCTGTTCAGGATGCTTTTGCCTCAATGAAGTAAGATACATAGACATTCCTGGATAATGTTATGGATACTAAGTATGAATGAACAATGAAACACACACATACACACACACACACACACACGCACACACACACACACACACACAATATTGAGAAAATCATGATATATAAGTATTTGCCTGTAAGAAAATCTTTAGGTTGTCCCACGTCCATCCAGAAGCCTGGTAATTCCAGAGCATATAATTCTCCATCTTGAGCCATATTTGGAAAAACTTCCTTTTCGATACTTGTAGGTTTTAATTCTATTCTATTCAATACGCTTGGATTGAGGATGTACATACCTATTTTGCAAAAAAAAAGGTATATATGTGAAACATACATGTGAAACATGTATGTTTTTCTAAACAACTTTAAAAAACTTTCTACTATTACTACCTGCATTTATTTTATTGGATATAAATTCTTGTGGTTTTTCAACAAAATTCTGAATCTTTCCATCTTCTTCATATACAACCACACCATACTTTGATGGCTCCTCTACTTTAGTGACAACTATAGTTCCTTCTTTACCATGATTCTCATGGAATTCGAGAAGTTGTTTAAAAGGAAATTCGCAAATGATATCAGAGTTCAAAACAAAGAATGGATCATCACTGGCACATAAATATTCACGCGCGAGCGCAAGTGGTCCAGCAGTGCCCAATGGTTCTGGTTCATGAGAAAATATAAGTCGTACTCCAAGTTTCTTCGCCTCGTGAACCAATTCTTCTTCCATCTGTTGTGCCCGATAGGAAACGGCCAATATAACTTCAGTTACATTTGTTTGTACCTAAAAAAGATTTAAAAAGTATACTTAGAAAGATAATGAAAATTATACTTGTATGAAACTTTGATAAATCATTTATTTCAATATTACAAATATACCAGTGCTTCGATCTGATGTAAAAGTATAGGTTTATTTGCAAACTCGACAAGTGGCTTAGGTCGACTTAAAGTAAGAGGTCGCAATCTAGTTCCATAACCACCCACAAGTATTAAAGCTCTCATGGTCTGTAACTTCTTTCTTTTTTCATGCATTCCTATAAATTCTGCAAAAATAATAAACAAAGATACTCTATTTTTTTTTTAATTATAAATCATGTCAAGTGCACCACTTATTTTATTTACTTTGCAATACAAAAAATTTTAAATCAATATACAGTTTAAATAATTTTTAATTGTTAAATTATATTATCGAAGAAATTAATGACCCACTCTAATTTGCAAAATACAGAATTATATTTTACTTTATATTCTTATATTTCTCTTACATTCTACTTAACATTATAAGTAAATAAATTTGTTTACTTGTTACTCTATTCTAAGATACATTACATGTGTAATAATAATCAATATTAGTAATAATCAATATTGTTTATTGCCCTTTGCTGAAATACGCAATGTTACTTACGTTAACCGCCGTCTTAGAATGACATTAACGAAGATAATTCGATATCTCAGTGACAATTATTGCCACGTAGATAGGCTTGATAGAGACAAGTGCTACGTGTTCACTGATATGCTCATGTTTATATTTACGATGAGAACATCTCTTCTTCATGAGATTATATCACATTATTAATGCAAGTGAATAAACCTATCATAAACATAACACCTGTCGAATAGACTTTTTATTGAGCAATGATAACAATGATGTTTTTGTTTTATGAAGAGCTGTCAAACTCTGTCTGTCTCTGTCGCGACACTGAAAAGATATTTAAAAGATTGTTAATGTCCTGGACAAATTTTTGTGATCACTCCGAGAGCTCGGAGGTAATTGAAGAATGCTGACATTATCAACTGTTTTGATCTGTTTATTCCAAGAATAAATGTGAGGATTTTATTTTCCTTAATTACTGTTTTTATTATCAGGAAATTATAAAACATGTATCATTTTTTATGATAAAGTAGTGATTAGGAAATTAGATAAAATTCTTATTAATTTATTTTTCGAACAACTAGAACGGTTGATAATGTCAGCGTCCTTCAATTACCTCCGAGTCTTCGGAGTAGTTATGTTACTCCAGTAAGAATGGCTGCATTCAATATAATCTTACATGTATGATAACAATCTTGCATATAAATACTTCATGTTATTGGATGGATATTGGATGATAAACAAAATGACAAGGAGATACTCATATAGAATTGTATACTTATAATCAAGAGACTTTTCTTTGAAAGAATCTTTTCACATGACATTAGACATTTATAATATATTTTACTTATGATATTGTCTGCTTGAAAGTACATTGTGCTAAATAATCTTGGTGACCGAAAGTACCAGTGATCCCTGCAGGTAAATTCAAGTTTTATTAAACAAAATGCATGATTTGTATACGTATATAAAAGGCTTTATTGCACAAAAGCAAAACTGTTCATTTATTTAGATAAATAAAATACAGAAAGTTGCATAAGGTATTACACGATCATTTCCAGTTCTCGGGCATAGTCTATCGCGAGAGCTGCCAGTTCAGAACTCGGAATAGGCTCCTCAGATTTTTTCTCACTAGTCGTAGTAAAATAAAAATGGCCATCTTTGGAAAGATTCCAGTTCTTCTTGATAGCGAATGCCTTTATATCCTTCTCCGTGCTTAAATTGAGCATCCTTGCGGCATCTTGAATGGAGCTCTTATCGTATGCACTTTCCATGCACGCGCCGATCTCATCGCGAACAGTATTTAATAAAATGTCTATGAAGAAATTATAGGATGCGGCGGGCACATTACCTTTGGCCAAGAAAATCTTATTGTACGAACCCTCCATCAAATATTGCTCTAAACTCAAGGGATGCCTTATATAAACATTTGATTGTATCTGATCAGACGGTAGGAGTTCCAGCTCTGTGTGAAATTCAGCAACTCGATTTTGAGATAATAAAAATAAGAGATTGAGACCAAGAAGCTGATATTTGTACGCTGATTCCATCAATCCAGATTTATAATCGAAATAGTAACATTTTAATTGTGCCATATATCTTTCAAAGGAAGGTATATCTTCAGTGGCAATGCTCCATTGTGCTCCAATTTCCAATATGTCTCCTGTGATTTAAATAAAATTTTTGTTATAATTTTGATATTTGATCTATTAACGCTGTGACTTGAGCTTAAAATTAGCAATACGTACTAGCGATTAATAATTCATTTTGACTGGCCGTGCTATTTGATGTTGGGAGAAACATCAGATGAGTGAGACCGATCTGTGTAAAATAATTATCATTGAATTATTTATTATTATACAATTATTATGAAAATGTTATTACTGTTAAATCATATCTAAATACATATCTAAATACATATCTAAAAGCTGAAGCACCAAAAGGAATGATCATTAAAATTTGAAAACAAAGTCTATGGCAAATGATGACAATTCATTTCCATAATCCACAAACACGATGAGGTTATGATGATACTTTTTATCAGTAATTATCCTATTTGAAAACGTGAATAAAGTATGTAAATTACCTTTAATTGATTGAGCAATTCTCCACATTTCTTCAAATTACACGGCGTTCTTGTCCATTCGCGTTTTAAATTCTGATATAAGGCAACAACATCTTCAAGGGCTGCCATTTTTAATATCTCGCTTCGTCTTGCCATAAAACAGATATTTTAGATGCGATTCGAGATTCGAGACTCGAAATTTTCGACTTAATTTTCGATTCATCGACTGTTTTGCCAATCAAAGTTCCTCTCTTTCGTGAAATAGAAAGAAAGGAATCATAAACGGCTCTTTAGGATACGTTTATTCTGTCCTTGACGGAAAAGCGGAAAGCGGAAAAGCAGCAGTCAATCATGTATTATGGAATATACAATTTCTGATAGGTTGAAATTCTTATTCTTTGTTATCTGTTTCTTGTTCCTTTTATTGTACAGAGTCCTACAAAAAGTCAAAATTGTAGACTAACTAGAGTTTTGATTGGCCATTGCTTTTCCGTCAAAATGCGAATGCGCCTTTACAGAGATTGTTTGCCCCAGTTTGCCCGCCAATCCCGCTATGTGTGATTTGATCACATTTGAGTCTGTTTACTGATGGTGATAATGTGCAAAGTGAAGTTTTGTAATTTTATAAATTTTCAATTGATTCTTCAACAGTAATCTTTAACAGCGATTTTGTAATATTAATCTTCATTACGTCTCGTTTAATACTCGTGTTAGAAACATGGCAGTGCAACCTAACCAACAGTTTAACATGGGTATATATAAGATTTTATTTAATCATAATGTAATTTTTGTTTCAATATAATAATTTATTTTTTAGATCCTCCTACGCAGCAGAGCTTTGTCAGATTTTTTAAAAATCTTCCAGAAGTGAGTATTTAAATTATTGTTTATACTACATGTGAATAGACAATCTTTAAAATCCTTTTTTGTTTCATAATTGTTATATATTAATTTTCTTCCAATTGTAACAATTGTATATTCTTGTATTTTATTAATTAATATATTTTAATAATTTAATTTAAAAAAAA